TTCTGTGAGGAGGTGAGCGTCAAAAATTCTCAGCCTGACAAAGATTCTGGTGTTTCACGACGCTAAAATGTTGAGGCGTCATTGGTTCGTCTTATTGACTTGAACCAAAATATTTGTTGTTGAAATGGTAGATCCAGATATAATCTTAGATCTTGCTTATACTTAATGAAGACTAAAAAAGGAGTAAAGGCGGAATTACATTGAATTCACGTGAACACACATGAGCAATAAATTTGATGAGACCGATGTTTTGCATTTATTTTATTAATCAACACATCAAGGGTGAACACATTATTGTCACTTGGGGGATTCATGTGAAATCACGTGATATTGCGATTGTTTCGCGCTCAAATATTCTGTTTTAACATCAATTTCGTGAGGGGTGAAAATGTAAGGGTTGGAAAATGGAAGCAATTCTAATAGAAAAAATGCGTTTACACGAGGTGCTTTACAATAACCGATCAACAAATTACTCACTTTTCAAATTAATGTCATGAACCCATTGCCTAGTTTTAATATTATCAGCAACCACAAGTAAACCACATGCGTTTTCTAAATCTTCTTCAAACTCAGAAGATGAAGATGAAGAACTATTTATTTGATTCATTAGTACGTTAAGTAGAGGACCTAAGTTGTTAAACTTGAGAAGAACGCTGAATGAACGAGAAATGGCTTTCGGTTCATAATAAAATGCGCATAATATAAAAGAACGACGTGATACTAATGTGTTTCGTTTAAACCACACGTGAACTCACTTTTACTGTGATAGCATGTGAACTCACGTGACGTGACAGTAATGTAATTCCGCCTTAATAGTATTTTGATATTAATGTATAGTAGAAAGAAGCGACATCATGGAAATACTTTCCTTTACCAGTTTTGCCAAGGCAAATCATCTGACACATTTGAATTTGGTTTAATTTTGTTAAAACGGGTTTGTTAAAAATTGTTGAGCCTATCCTACTATATAATTTAAATTAACATGTTAAAGAAACAAAATACCCACTAATAAATCACAATAACCACAATTGAAGCTAAATGTTCCTCGCGGTTGCGCTAATTTTGTTGGTTTAATTCGTTCTTAAGGCCGCTTTACAGTTTTGCTGCAACTTTTCTTGCATGCGTGCGCCTTCTGACATTTTTAAAAAGTTGCTAGTCTTTTTATTCAAATGTTTATATACTTTATATTCATCTTAGATCTACCTTTTTTAGACTCATATATTTTGACACTTACCTTTAAGTGTGCCATGAAATTTAATAATCTAATTGTACTATCAAAAATGGTACAATACACAGTTAAATACCATAATACACAATTTAATGCACATATTACAATTTGCTTGAAATATACTATAAAAATACAACATGCATTAAAATTCTATATATAAAAATTATCTAAACAACTAACTATGTATAAGAAAAATCGCTTCATTTTAAATATCATAAAGAGTTTATATATTTGTAATTATTAAAAATGTTTAGTCACACAATGGAGGACTCGCACAAGCACGCCCGCTTATGGCCTCTAAAATTGTGCACAGCGCCTGACCGGCCCAGTTATTACGCTGTTTAAACGGGAGTTTATTTTTGCGCACAAGAAAATTTACTCGTTTGCTCATCGTCATAAAAAACAATTTTCGTACCACGAATTAGGGACAAGATATTTTTATCTGTATACTTATAGGATACCTAATCTGACACGACAATTCACACTATCCGTTCCGTTTCTCTTCCGTTCCATATCCTTTCCTGGAGCCGCTATCGATCATACCTTGTCTTCTTTGTATCATGTTGTGAAACTATTGTAAGAGTCAAAACAGTAGAAATGTCAAATAGGAGTTTCCTACTGAGTTTGGAAATATCTATATCCTTATTATCTAGTTTTTTTTTCATTGCTTCAATAATTATCTTTTCAGTGGAGTTTAATGTTAAATACTTTGTAAATGAACTGTATAACTCGTCAGACAGTTCAAGTCTTTTTTTTGTCAAAAAAGAGATTGAAAGACAATTAATAAACTCACCAGAAAAAAAAACAGACTTTTGCGCAGGTTAATTTGGCGAATAATGGCAAATATTTTTCAGTATTCGTAATATTAAAAATTTCACTCAAAACATAAGACACAGAACAGAAAACCATAACAATAGTAATAAAGGGAATACAGCCTCAGTTTATGCCCGTATCTAAACACAAATATACCATCATAGTTGCGCGTTGGTGTAACTTTTAAGTATGACATTTCTTATTAACAATTACCAAAAATGTTATATACTGATTTTTTTAAGAATGATTTTGCATAAACATTGATTAGTTTTCAATTTTTTATCTACCAATAAAATTTAGTCACTACGAAAATTTTTATTTTGTCAATATTTGGAAAATTTAGAACACACACACACACAGTCCCTGCATATTAATTCTTAATTTATGGATGATATATTAACACCTATTTTCCAAAAATAATTTAACAATTATTTAACTACATTTATTTTATTCTGCTTCAAACCCCAATTAATAGATGTCTAGTATATAGTAATTAATATTAGATACATTTGCATCCCCATATAAAATTTAATATATAGGGACTGGTCAAAATATTCGGAAAATTGACAAAAAATCGAAACAATCGTCAAGTGACAAAATTTGGAAGGTGGATATGGAATGGGAATCTAAAAAATACCCCAACAAAATATTCTTCTTCTTACAGTACCATACTCTATACAGAGTGTCGGCTACCTCTCGCATGTACCTGGTGATGTGGGTCATCAGTGTTTAACAAGTACACGGCACCTATTTGATAGGCTGTACAAGGCAAATATACTCAAGGTGGTTTGCCATTGCCTTCATTGAGGTGGCGGCTCGCTGGTCGCTCTATTTAGATAAATATCTTTATTTAAATAAATAAAGCGACCGTACTGACTGAGGATCAAACCCAATATCATTCCATCTCTCGCACCGCAGATTGACAGAATACTGCTTGCGCTACGGTCGGCCATCACAAACAAATTAATAAAAATATTAATAAATAACAATTGAGACAGAAAAAAAAACGTACGTGTGAAATGTGCTTTAAATTTCGCGATTATTTTTAATGTTTCAAATAGATAAATAAGCGTTTTTACTCGCCCCATTAACGCCCACAATGTGGTTGACTGGTCGGTGATGCTTTTGCTGTGGAGTCTTCAATGTATCTTTTAAGCCAATTTTTTAATGTAGTTTTTTGAGAAGGTTTTGATGTCCAAAAATGGAATAAAAAAAATTTCGAAAGATTGACTATTAACAAAGTTATTAACTCAATCCAACCCTTCCGACTGCAAACCCAGTAGTTCCTAGATTTTCTTTCTCACTAGTCAGTCGTTACTACTGTCTGCTTAATAAATAAGGATACTTTTCGACATTTTTAATAAGAAATGTCAAATTTTACATATAAACCAAGTCGCACAACTATGAGGGTAATTTAATTTAAGGTTTTAGACAAACAAAACTAAGTGCGTTACCTAAGTCCACTTGCAATAACTAAAAAATCATAACTTTTTTGCGGAGACTGTATATGGAATATACGCATTTTTGGAAATTATTATCAAAGATGTTTATGTGTATATTTTTTTTGTAAGTTAAATAAATACATTTTTTATTATAATTTAATTGACACAAATATCAAATACTTTTAAATATGTATACTTAGTGCTTATTCTGAAAGAAAAAAAAATAATTTTCAAATTCTAGGAAACACCATAAAAAACGTAGATATTTCCCATTCATTTGCTACAGAAGAAATATAAAACCATTTTAAGATGTGTGCAAAACTTGTTTGAAATTATAACATATTAAAAAAATTATCTTTTTGCTGTAGATTATTTTTTTACTTCTATAAAATGTTTAGCTTAGTACTGCTCTGATTAAATAAAAAATAAGTACATTAAAAAATGTAAAATAAGTTTTTCTAAACAACTTAACAAAATTAAAATAATATAAAAACTAATTTAAAAAAACACATTCAAAAACTGAAATGCATTATCGTTACATTAATACTGCTCTTCGAATCTTTTAAAAATGTTGTTAATAAAAGGAAGCTTAAAGCCACTAGTTGCAATAAATAATTATTTAAGTACAAATCTGAGTGTAAAGTACAATGTTACAGCCTTTTATTTTGTCCTATATTCAACAGGCTATAACTTTTTTTATAAACAGAATATAACTCTATTTGATACAATTTTTAAAAAATTTAATACACGACACTTAATACTGTATGACCAAAAAAAACGGTGTCCAGTTGGCTTAGAAATGACGATCGATGATATTTTATATATAATTCTACACATAAAATGACAGCGATCTTCATATCATAGCCATCGCTGACGCCGTTTTTTTCGATCATATTGTACTACATATAGGGTATTCCATTTCACATTAAAAAAAAATATTGTTAACATTGTAGAATAAATATGATAGTTGCCACTGACAGTTGACAGTGTACGATTTTGACATTTTTGATAACGCACATCAGCAAAAAAAATAAAAACACTAAATCACCACAATACTTTTACTTTTACACTGGACGCACGCATGTTAGCATCATCAGCAGATGATTAAGCGTCCAGTGTAAAAGTAATAGTGTTTTGGTGAATTGCGGTGATTTAGTATTTTTATTTTGCTGTTCAACGCCAAAGGTCCCAACCCCCAACTGTAACGCACATCAAAACATAATAAAAATGCTACAATTTGCTTTTTTAATTACCGTCTTATCTCAAAAAATAAAAGAAAGAAAAGAAATTTAAAGCCTGTTAAAAATTTGAGAAATAAAATACTAACACTGTATAAAAAATATCGGACGTTTTGATAGACAGTATATCCATCAATAAACAAATTTGACTAAAAAATAAACACTAGGACGTATTTTACACTCTATATTTTGTCCAAGGTACTTTTTTTTCTGCTATGGTTTTTGATGTCCTTGTACAAAATATGTTTTAGTTTTTCTCTTTTCATTGTTTTTTTTTGCTTTAAACAGATTTACTAATCTGTATACAAAAAACGAAATGACGGAAGGTACTTACATTATTTGACGAAACGTGGAATCGAAAGATTTTCAGTGCTTAAAATCGATAATTCTTAGATTTAAAATTGTTGCTGTATTATTTATAAAAAAGACTTATTTGTCTTACTGTATGACGCAACATCTTTTGGGTTTGGCGTATTCTACGTTTTCTTGTGTCGTGTCGCCGGTAAACCTGATGATATCCGTGGAATTCGAATTTTGGGGCGACGACTCTGATTCGTCTAAGCTACCCACCGGAGATGCGTTGCTGTTTCTAATTTGCATCCTTTGCTTCTTAAGGTCAGCTAATGTTCCGTTGCCATTTATTGTCACAACCACATGAACAGTTACCTAAATAATAAAAATCGGGTGTTTTACTATGTTTAAATTTATTGAATTTTGTTATAAAGTTTAGTTGATATAATCAAATAAATACAGTATGATCGAAAAAAAACGGCGTCCAGTTGGCTTGGAAATGACGATCGATGTCATTTCCCATATAAAATGACAGCGATCTTCATTTCATAGCCATCGCTGACGCCGTTTTTATTCGATCATACGGTATTAGTGATGGAAAAAACCGATTAATTTCAATAATCGAGTACTCGAGTATCAAGCGATTGCAATAACCGAGTGATCACTCGAGCGAAATATCGCTCGTATTTAAAAATGCGGTTTTTTGTTCGTCGCATGTTGTAAGTACTCGTTAACGCCAAGCAGTAAGCTGCGTGCGCAGGGCACATATTCTTTCGGTAATGAACGGCAAGTAGTAAGTAGCGAGCGATTCGCTTGATCGCTTGATTTAGTTTATTTCGAAGCATTGTCGATGCAGGTCGTCGAAATTTTGTCCCTCAGATACGCAACGGATGAATATACCGGGTGCGTCTTAAAAGTGGCTCACCCCCTATAACTTTTTTATTTTTTCAGATAAAACAACAAGATTTGGTATGTTAGTATATGACCTAAATTAGGATTGATTGACATATTCAATTGTTTTCGGTCACTTCCGGTTTCACCGAAAATGACTACAACTTTTGATTTTCAAATCGTACCCTCGGTATTTTTTTTACTTTATTCGGTAGAAAATGACACTCTGAATAGAATGACATATCACATGTCAACTTTTGACATATTCGCATATGGTTTATTTGAAATTGTAACATGCGGTTCATAACGACAATTTGACTCGAAGTACCAAGTGTGTGGTATCAAATTATTTGTAAAAAAATATTTTTCGAAATATGCTAATGAGCCACCCTCGTTCCATTTGAAAAAAATTGAGATATGATCAAAAATATGATTTGGGCATCTTTTAACCGGCCAGGGCAAGACACTAAAACCATTAGACGATCAAATCTATTTTTCCAAGGCTTCTTGATTAAAAATTAGTGTTTTTAACACAGCCATGGCACTCTAGATTGAAATTTAAAATACAATTTGTTTTTAAGCGAATATGTCAAAAGTTGGTATATGATACGTCATTCTATTTAGAATGTCATTTTCTATCGAATAAAGTAAAAAAATACCGAGGGTGCCATTTAAAAATCAAAAATTGTAGTAATTTCCGGTGAAACAGGAAGTGACAGAAAACAATTGAATACGTCCATCAATCCTAATTTATGTCATATACTCACATGCCAAATCTCATTTTTTATCTAAAAAAAATAAAAAAGTAATAGGGGTGAGCCACTTTTGGGACGCACCCGGTATATACGGCGTCGTATAAATTTACTACCTGCAATGTATGTCGTATGTCACATTAAAATCGGATTTCAACACAGCCATTTTAACACAGCCATGGCACTCTAGATTGAAATTTAAAATACAATTTGTTTTTAAGCGAATATGTCAAAAGTTGATATATGATACGTCATTTTATTTAGAATGTAATTTTCTATCGAATAAAGTAAAAAAAATACCGATGGTGCCATTTAAAAACCAAAAATTGTAGTCATTTCCGGTGAAACAGGAAGTGACAGAAAACAATTGAATACGTCCATCAATCCTAATTTATGTCATATACTCACATGCCAAATCTCATTTTTTATCTAAAAAAAATAAAAAAGTAATAGTTGTGAGCCACTTTTGAGACGTACCCGGTATATACGGCGTCGTATAAATTTGCTACCTGCAATGTATGTAGAAAATTCGCTCGGCTTTTTATCGAGTATGTCGTATGTCACATTAAAATCGGATTTCAATTTATTTCATTCTAGGATCGCTTGCGTTCGTCGCTTGGTACTCGTCACTTGCATCGCTCGTTCATAATCGAGCGATGTCGGTTATTTCAATAATCGAGTACTCGAGCAAATTTTCGCTCGAGTTATCCCATCACTAATAAATGTATCTCTAAAATAAATGGAATCGACGGCACGATTAAGAAATATTGATAGGTTCATACTTCGTGAATTAGTCCTAAGTTTATCCTTAACATTAACCTAAGATTAACCCTAAGAAATTAACCTTAAGAAAAAAAAGAAATGCCGTTTATACTCCTAAAATAATCAATATACTCGTAAGCGCTTGCGCTCATATAAATCATATGTTTTGAACTAACCTAAATTCACAATTATTTTTAAAATTTCTAATACTAGAGAAACTAATTTTTACATTAATAATTTCCAGACCAAAAAATACATAATTTATTAACATTTATAAACCGTCAAATTCAACATGTCAGATATTATTTCGAGAATTCTTAAAACCCCTAGTTTTGAGCATGCGCGATTCTATTTTGAACTAAGCTTGATTTTCATGCGTCCGCTATCCGTTGATACGATGGTCCGATATTAATTTTATTGGTTGAATTTAAAGACTTTGGTTGGTTAGAAACGGTTAACCAATCGAAGCCTTTAAATTCAACCAATAAAATTAATATCGTATCGTCGGACAACGGATGCATGAAAATCAAGCTTTAGCATTAGCCCTAAGAATATAAAATACCCAACCTATTAGGACTAGGGCTAATGTTAGGATCGATACAACGGCAGCATGAACGCTAGCGTTCGTTTGTTATAACGTTAACGTTTTAACGTTAACGTTACGTATATTCTTGGGGTTAGGACTAATGTTAGTGTTATGGCCACGATACACATAAATGTTTAAGTATGTCGTTGTTATGGCTAAGATCGGAAGCATGTACCCACCAGAAATTAAATTTTACATTATTTGTCACTAGTTTAAACAGGGGCCTAAAAATTCTGACGTCACTTATGAGCACTTACCATGATAAGCATCATTAAATAACGGAGAAATATGGCAACGATGTGCGGTGTTATGACTGTTTCTCAGAAGTGCGTTGTGTCGCTGGGGACACTTCAAAGAATCAATGAGATTTGTATAAAATTCAAACAGCTGTCAAATTTGAATATAGTACAAATTTTGTTGGTTCTTTGAAGTGTCACCAGGGACACGTCAAAAGAACCAATGAGATTTGTACAGAATTTAAACAGAGCTGTCAATTTTAAATTTAGTACAGCTCTCATTGGTTGTTTAAAGTGTCAAACAGAACCTGGTGCTGAGAACGGGGCTTAAGGGATGTGTTACTTTGACAACTTTGACAGTTAAAATGCCATAATAAACGTTTCACGCTAATAAATAATATGTCACTATACGGGCCCTGGTCACTTTATTTGGTGGTCAGTATTTTACTAGAAAATATTCTAATAAATAACACAACACTGGAAATAGTAGAAGAATACATATATTTGGTTTGGTTATGAACGGTTGGGAAACTGCAGGTCGCACAAAGCTCAATGGACCGAAATATGCTAGTAATAACCAAGAAAGACCGTAAAAGAATAGAGTGGATACGACAAAAGGACCCAGATAATAGATGTCATCCACAGAATCAAATCCCTCGAGTGGCAATGAGCAGGATACATGGCAAGAAGGACAGATAACAGATGGACCGCAAAGATACAGCATGGTACCCAAGAAGAATTAAGAGACCTAGAAAAAGACCAAACCTAAGATGGGATCATGATATTAAGAAATTAGCAAGGATAATTTCATTAGTTAAAAATATAAAATTAAATCTTAAATTAATGTAAAATTAAGCAAATTCTAATCTAGTCAATATACAGAGAGGAGTAAGACAGGGATGTGTGCTGCCTCCTTCGTTATTTAATGTTTATTCTGAGGCAATTTTTTCGGAAGCTTTCTCTTCAACAGATTGCGGTATTAAAGTCAACGGCGAAGTCATTAACAACATTAGATTTGCCGATGACACAGTTCTTATTGCCGACTCTGATACTGGTCTCCAGAGTTTAGTGGAACGACTTGAAGGCTCCTGTAAGAAATACGGGATGAAGATCAATTCTCTTAAAACTAAGGTCTACAAGTTCAAATATTGGGGTCCTGGATAGTTTAACACCTTGAACAACGACGTGGAAATAAAAATCGGAATAGAACAAGCGAGAAATGCATTTTTAAAAATGAAGAACGTCTTCCAGAACCCCAGATTGGACCTTGAGTTGAGAACTAGGCTCGTTCAGTGTTATGTTTGGTCAATCCTATTATACGGAGCAGAAACATGGACACTGAAAGTTCAAGAGATGAATCGCCTCGAATCGTTCGAAACATATGGATATATCGAAGAATGCTTAAAATTCCATGCACAGCCCATATCACAAATACCGAAGTCTACAACAGAATAGGCAGAGAAAGAGAATTGCTCAATATAATAAAAATAAGAAAAACATCATACTTAGGGCATATATTGAGAAATGAAAAATACCCCGTCTTACAATTAATAGTTAAAGGTAAAATTGAAGGAAAAAGAGGTCTCGGCAGGAAGAAACTATCTTGGTTGAGAAACATCAGAAACTGGACTCACCTAACTTTTGAAGAACTTATAAGGAAAGCCGAGAATCGTGAAGATTTTGCCAATGTGATCGCCAACCTCCACGAAAGAGACGTACGTAACGAAGAAGAATAAGTCAATATGTGAAATATTAGGTTTTGTTTTGGTCCGTTTATAAAATTGAGAAATTAATTGGAAAAAAAAATAAGGCTAACAAAATTGTATTAAGATCGATTAACCCTGTATAAAGATAATACAAAAGATGAGCTTACCTTGCCGTTTACATCGGTGGTATACGTTTTTTCTTTCGAATCTAATATTCCACCGTCTATCGTCGAATCGTTGTCTTTACCATCTGGGTCTCTCCTGTCAAGAGTTTGTAAAGCGCCTAACAATACCAATAAAAAATCAATAATACTATATCAAATAGTTTTGTAAATACTTACCGGTGTTTGAATCTAACGTGTCTATTCTTTGCTTGTTGTTATTCGTAAGATTGTAATCTAGATTGTTGTTGATTGGTGCGCCGTTACGGACAGCGCTTATTGGAGGAATGTTCGAAGATATGTCGTTATTATCCAGTTCCTGGAACACAGATTATTTGTTATTGGTTCTTTTAAAAATGTATAATTACTTATTTGATAACTATTTCGATTGCTTTAATTGAATAAAAATGGTAAGCTAATTATATTAATAATAATATTCTAGGATCTAAAAACCGGCGTCAGAGTTGGCTTGGAAGAGAAGGTCACTGTCATTTGATACAGAGTGGCGTCTCTCATACGACGCGGGGGCTCCAAAGGGAACGGTAGTTTATATTGAAATAGAATTTTGGAGCATGTAGGTTAATTGAAAGAATTTTATAAAAATATATAGGATTCCACAGGGTGTTTCCAAAGAAAGCAGTTAGGCATCAATGTCGTGTTTTTTTTTAAATGGAACACCCTATGTATTAATTAATTTATTTCGAATTCTAAAAAAATAGAGTGAATTTCATTAAAGAAGCATGTCTAAAATGTAAGATTTTTGACATATTTTACATTTTGTGAATATGAATATTTTAAAAAAATAATTTTAAACAGCTACCTAAGTTATAATCTTAGTAATATACCCTTTATAGCTTGATATTAAATTAAAATAAGCATTGTATGTTAAATCATATTAAAATTTGACCCGAATAGTTGTACAGGGTGAGACAAAATTGATATTAAACATTGGTCACTTGTAAAACCAAGTTACTCTTTTATTTTATGCAAAACACCCAGTATATTACTCTGAGATTCAATGGGGCTATTAAGAAAAGAACATCTAAACGAAAAATAAAAGAGGCTTTTTTAATACAGTCTAATAAAAATAAATGTATTGCTCAGGCATCTGTAGAAGTTAGTAGTGTATATATATATATATTAGTGTATATAGTATTAATATAGTATATTAAATAGTAGTGTATATAGTATTAAAAAAAAACAAATATTTAATACTTAATATACTATAAGAATATAAACAAAAATGAAATAAAAAAGTCTTTGCCCTGACTTGGATTCGAACTCTGAATCATACTCTACGCACTGCTCTATGGAGACATGTTCGATTTATATTCAATACTAGAATTTAAAGGACTAATCGAAATATAGGATCTTCTTTCAATGCGCAGTAGAGAACGCAACGTTTACCGGCAGCCAGACGGGCATGCTGTTCTAGAGAGCATAGTAAAAGATATATCAAAAAGCCAGACGTCTTAAAATACTAGTTTTTCCGACGTTGCTAGCTCTCGTACTATTATGTTTTGTTCTCAAAACTCTCAAGAACTAATAGCAAATCGATATTTATTGAAGACGTTTTAATTGATATCAGAATAAATTTATCACTTGCCAAATTAATTACTACGATTTTTTGATGATCATTAAAGACAGAAAATTTGCATATAAACATCGATTTTGGATTTAAAAACTATTTATCAAGACACAATGTTAGAAAAACTATGTAAAAAACGTGATGTTCCAGTGGGTAATTTTCGAATAAAAAAATAAGCCGATAAAAATAAATAAAAAAAAACTCTAAATGACTTACTTTATATGACAGACATACGACAGTTGTTTTTCTTCGTCTGATCATTTTATTTTAGCCCAGACCACTGTCGCACACAAGCAAAAAGAAATAAGCTTCTTTGTACCGAGTTGAGCTAAGTAATTATATAAAAACATGATTTTTATTGTTTTCACTTAAAGAATTTTTTCATATTTCTAAAGATTTATAAGTTATGCTTGCGGCAACGACGTGTCGGGCAAGAAAAAAAAGTATTATTAGTCTTAAGTTAATTATTGATGGCTTAACATCAAACTTTCCTGCAAGTGTAGCCCATATGTTCACTCATACGAAAAACGTTAAATAATTAATTGGTCTAAACGCATCTTAGTCCAATAATTATTTTAATGATTAGTAAAATATATTTAATGGCGTATGATTTAATACACAACATACAGTGACCGTTAAAAAGTTTCACTAAAAAATCGTAAAACTTTTTATAACTATTGATTTATATAAAACCAATATTCATATAAAAATGTACACAGGTGGTCCAAACTATATTCCGGAAACTTCGGCAGTATATTCTGCAGATAAAAATAAGTAAAAAAGTTAGTATGTCCTAAAATGCTTAGTTTTGGAGATACAGGATGTAGAAGTTTCATTTTTATTTCGATTTTTTCCAAATAATTTATGAAGTAACGCCAATATTTGGAGGAAAATTGGCGTCTGGGAGTTTTTTGACATGAGAAATTTGACTTTGATGTCAATATGACTCCTACGTGATGTTTCCTCCCTGTAGGGTGCGCCACCTATATGTGTTTTAACTGTTTTGAAGAGTAATAACTTTTCTCTTCCGATAATAACTTGTCTTTTGGTAAAAATCACTATGGGCAACCGTTTTCAAGATATTTAGAATGGAAATAGTCAATACATGCCATTATTGACAAAAAATAAACACGTTGAGTAGATAGTTTGATAGTTATTTGACTGAAATAATAAATTTGGGAAGTTTTTATTTTTTTTAAATGAATCATAATTAAATTTTTCGGAAAAATAATGATAAAACAGTTTCTATTAAACTTTTGGAACAAAAAACTTTTCAAATTTATTATTTCAGTCTAATAACTATTTAGTCGACAGGTTTAATTTATGTCAATGATGACAGGTATTGATCATTTCGATTCCAAATATCTCACCATAACTCGTAACGATTTTTACCAAGATACTTTTTTTATGTAAAAAACGTCGTAAATGTATATTTTTTTACTCAGTAGTTTTATACAGGTACGGACAAAAAGTTATTACTCTTCAAAACAGTTAATAAATATGTAGGTGGCGCTCTCTACAAGTAGGAGTCAAAGCAAACTTGATCGTACAACATTTTGACTGTATGGTACTTACCGAGCCACTACCAGCTTGCAACCTTAACCTAGCTTCTTCAACGGCGTCTCTTCTTGCAGTCAAGCCTTTATCTCTCAAGGACGTTCTACGGACGGACTGGGTCCTGGTGTTACTCTGGGATCGCTTCACTTTCCTCTTCGCTTCCGCTTGTTTCTTGATTTCCTGTTCCGTTTTCAGTTCTAGTATACGCTCTTTGATTTCTGGATCTTCGCAGATGTCTGTTAAGAAATATTTACATATGAAGATAGATATAAAAGCAAGGCTTTTCTAATTCGGTTAAATATAAAGAAATACATCAATCATCTGAGCTATCGCTTCTGTGATTAAACTCTATATAACGAGTCAGGGAAGATTTCGACACACGATATCCAAAAAATGACAGAAAAACACATTTTTCCTGTAAATTAAAATGACAGACACAACTGTCACTATCACGGATCTTTCCGTTGGATAGACTACATTTGTAACAGCAACTGTGTGAAAGCAGCGTTTGGAGAAGCGTTGGGCTTCTCAAAAAGAATATACAAAAAAAATTAGTCTAATAACAAATATTTTCCTGACACAGACGCCATCTACTAAAGTCTGCCTAACGAGTCAGATTTTTCCAGTCAGTCATTTCGACAGATGATAACAAATAACAAAATAAAATTTACCTGTGAATTAAAATGATGTATTCTCTCATTGGACATAAATATTCAAAAATATACATACATAACATAAATCTTGGTAAATAACAAAATATTTCATATTATTATAGCTTTTTAGTCTTACCTCATTAGCTAACAAAGTCCGTTATTAGACTTTGTTATAACCCTATATCATATTATACAGGGTGGCGCACCCCATTCGCCTCGGTTGATTATACGAAAAAGGAAAGATTAGAAACAAAATATTTTATGGGTAAATGTGGGAAGACAATATGCATAATTTAAAAATTATTTTGAAATGTACAGGGTATGTCAGAAATAAGATCCACCCCAAAGTTATATTTTTTCTTATGGAACACCCGGTATTTTATTTTATATTTGGATCCGTGAACACAAAATAAGGCATTTATTATAAGAGTTAAATATGTTTAGAAGCTTTGGTTTTTGAGATATTTAAGGGTATTTAAATATGCATGCTATAATAAAAAAGACTGTTAACACCCTGTACAGCTTGTCAGAATTAATTCTTGTGTTGACTTTTAAGTCAAAGTAATAAGCTTTACTGAAAAATTTGATTGCTTCGTTTAGTGTATACAGGGGTATCAAAAATTTATGGTCTATTTTAAATATTTATTTTCCATAAAACCCTGTATTTTTTTAAATAAATCGAAGCAGATTCAAATGCTCTTTCAAACTATATTAGGGTTTCCTATACCATCTAACTCATATTTTGAATAAAGAACATTGTTTCAAAAAAATGGCAATCAAGAGGGTAGTGTGTCGTCATGGCAAGTTTCTAGTGACAGTTAGTAGCTATTTTCAAAATCGAAATTAGTTTATAAACTTTATTTAAATTTATACCAGTTTCCTTTTATTTAATTTACCCCTATAATAGTTTAATAAATAATATTTATTAAATATGTATTTATTATTCTATCAAGAACAACGAAGAAATAGTTCTGTAATTTATTTTACGGTGACTTGTAGATATATGGATTTTCTATAAAAGAGCCAAATACGGCAAATTCATTTTCTTCACTTCCAACGACAGGTGGAATGCTGCCTAATAGGTTTTTTATAAACCACACTACCAGCTCTGAGAAATAGAACAAGTAATTTTTCAAAGGAACGCTTATCAGGAAGATTCATATTTGAATATCTTTGAGCAAAAGCTCTTGAGACCAAGAAGCAATTTTCTTCATAAAATAAAATCACTAGTAACATATCCATTCGTTTCGCTAGCAGATACTGCTGTATTTTCTTGATAAATTAATGAATACTTAAACTGTTGTAGGTAAATTTAAGTAAACTGTTACAAATCTACATAATAATGTCCATAAACCAATGTCGATTTTGAAAATAGTTACTAAATGTCCCTAGAAAATTGTCATGGCGACACCAGCCATCTTGATTGCAATTTTATTAAAAAATTGCTTTTTATTCAAAATCTGAGCTAGATAGATATAGAAAATCCTAATATAGTGTGAAAGAGCATTTGAATCTGCTTGGATTTATTAAAAAAAAATACAGGGTGTTGCATTTGAAATAACTAAGTTTTTATATAAAATAAATCCTTAAAGTAGATCTCAGCAATTTTTGGTACTCCTGTATAAATTTAAGGAAGCAATAACATTTTTCAGTAAGGTTTATTTCCCCACCTTTAAACTCAGCACAAGATTAAAGTCTGAAAAGTAATGTACAGGGTGTTAATAGTCTATTCTATTGTAGCATGCATATATAAATATCTTTAAATATCTCAAAAACCAAAGATTTTAAACATATTTAACCCTTATAATATATGCCTTTTTTTGGGCCCAAGAATCCAAAAATGAAATAAAATACTGGGTGTTCCATAAGAAAAAATATAACTTTGGTATGGATCTTAGTTCTGAAACACTCTGTATATTTCAAAATAATTTTAAATTGTGCACATTGCCTCCCCACATATACCCATAAAATATTTTGTTTCCACATCTTTCCGTTTTCGTATAATCAACCGAGGCGAATGAGGTGCGCCACCCTGTATACTTACATGGATAAGTAAATCGCTATGGAAACTGTCGCAAACATATCAACGACTTCCATTTATCTTCTTTTTTTGTTGCGGTGCTTCTACTCTATCTATCCTTGTCGAGGACCTATCGTCCGCGCGCCAAATTTGAACATTAATTTTAAAAATTTAATTTGTAAAATGCTTATATTTGAACAATAAACTGAATGTTTACTGTCACAAAAATTAAATTATATAAAAAATACATTTAGCCATTCCATACGAATATCAATATTCTTAGGAACTCTAACAAGAAAGTATGCATGTGGCTTAATATAAATAAAAGAACAACTGAATACTTTACTTGCATATGAAAAGATAATTCGGGGACCATTCTGTTAGAACTTTCACACACTAAACACTTTCTAGTAATTTTTACGAGTATTTAGAAAGTCCAACGAAAAAAGAAATAAAAATATAATTGCACAAACTTAAAATTAACTTCTCACTGAACTCACTTGCATCCTTGGCTATATAAAAGCGGTCGATGAAAGAGTAATTAATACAATTTTTAAATTAAAAAAAACCCAAAAAACAAGAGTAGTTACACAATGGAAATAAGATTATGAAATATGATTATGACAAGATTATGGCAATATGATGGCCTCTGATGGCAATGAAAAGTTGGTTTTCATAACAATGTATAATTTGTACTTTCTAAACCGTATAAAATTGTGATTATTTTGGAAAAACGTTTAATGCACATGCGCAAAGTAAGGTGCTCGAGAAAGACAAACCTATTGAACGTTTCATAAGTGCAATAAAGAAAGTTTGAAAATGGCATGTCGTGATGGAGACATATTTTTTAATGCTAAACTTATGGCGTTGATTTATCCACGTACTAGGTTGATCTAGGGATATAACTATCATTAAATAATGTCTAAATGTTGACCTTATCTAAAGAAAATCTATCAGAACTTCAACATTAGATGAGTCTATGAGAAATATCTACAGATCTCCATATAGCTAAATTTAGCTTTTATCAGGGGCGGCCCTAGTAGCACTGGAAGATGGTGAGGCACATTAGAAGAGAATTTTTATTAGTATGTATATAGGGTGACCATTAGTACGAGGAAGTCAAATATCTTCGTAGTTGACAAATATATGAAAAAAACTTCTATATAAACAAAGTGCATATCCTAAAAAAATATTTTCTGTAAAATTGCAATCGCATTACCATTTTTCTGTACAGAATTGGGTTCAGCATAAAATTCAGCATACTTCACACTATTGATTTATTTGAAGCACTGTATATGGGGGATTTCCATGATAATTCATATTTGAAAAATTTCATTTTTTAAAAAGTAGTAAAAACCTGGAGTGAATTTAACTTATTGATATATTATTGCTTAACTATGTATATAGCGATACTGCTATGTAGGACAAAAGAAGAAATCCGAGAAAAATTCACATTATTTTATACAGGGATTTATTTATGGCACGGCCAACATTGCAATATTATAATGCTATATCTCAATTTTTTTAAATGCAATACACACTGTATATTATTTTTAGTATTTTAAATACCTACAGACTTAAAAAGCGCAGATTTTTGTATTTAAAATATTTCTAAATTTTTAGCAGTTGCCTTAAGCCTTATGTAATATAATTCGCTGTAATATACCGTATGATCGAATAAAAACGGCGTCAGCGATGGCTATGAAATGAAGATCGCTGTCATTTTATATGTAAAATTATATGGGAAATATCATCGATCGTCATTTTCAAGCCAACTGGACGCCGTTTTTTTTTCGATCATACGGTACCTATTACATAGGGCTATTGCAACAGTAAATTTTTATCAAAACGACCTCAGGATATTTTGTCTTATATATTTTACTCTGTATGGTAAAATTTTGTTTTTCTACCAATCCTATAAAAATAAAACAAAATGAAATCTCTGTAACAGGTTGCTTTACTTTTTGACTATACAGTACACAATTTATCTAGAAATGATTCGTATTCGAAAAACTTTACCTGGGAAGTCCTCTGATGATGCATGGTCCCTCTAAATCATCATATCAATCAACAAGTCACTGCCCACTTTTTAGGTATTTACTTAATACGTTGTAATCAGTAAGACGAGTAATTAAACATGCAATTCACATTAAAAAACGTATATATTAATCAATTAGAGACAAAACAGTGCAATAACCGGCAGAGTTAATTCAAACTAATACAAATTCCCAAATAATGCAATTCTGCATTTTCAGCCTGTCGCCAGCTGTCGCCTAAAATCTCTCAGGCTGATCGCCGGGAACTGATCGGGAAGTGATACATATATTTAACGAATGGCTTTTAAGGTTTAAATTTACATTTGAGGCTCGCCTCAATACGGTCTTTTTACGCGCTACTACTCCATACATTTTATCTCTCTTCAACTAAAGGTTTTGCCTATGCTTTTTCTTTTCATTCTATAGATTTAAGATTCCAGTGAACGCTGTCGCTCCGTCAATGCGATATACCACAATGCGTTAGACAAGGAAAGACGAGAGGCAAACCTCTGCACATATACTTCTTAAAGAACAAATGAGATGGATATATATATCGTCGTTTGTCGCATATGGGAAAGGAAGCGCGTTTAAAGGAATACCATCGACGTAATTTATTGTAGAATGACGGATAAAAAATACAATTATTATTGATGCAAATAGGGAAAAAAAATATAAAATTGTGATTAAAGATGTATCGATTAATACGTGTAATTCTTCAAATGTATTGGTGAGGCACTGCCTCATCTGCCTCATAGGACAAGCCGCCCCTGGCTTTTATATAGTTTTTTCTTTATTCTTTTTGTTTTTGCTTTTAACGATGGAGAGAAGTTAAACCAGTGAAACATCAAGTGTATTTGATGGTCAGGCAAATTTGTTTGTAAGTAAATAGCCACTGATGAAAATCTGGTTTCTGTTTAGATTTTAACGACGGCATTTTTTGGCAAAAAACACAAAAATAGACTACTAAGTCTTACTCTACTGAAAGACAAATTGCATATGAAGCATAATGGGCAAAATTCCTTTGAAATTCTAACCGAAAAACCGATGATTTTACTTTTTTAAAATGAACTGAATAGTAGATTGCCAGTGTTGATATGAAACATCTCATATTCTAGAATTAATTAGATAGACATTTTGCCCTTATTTTAATAAATGGTAAAATGTATACCTGAAGGTGTTTCTTCGTTTCGATTTCTTGCATTCAAATTGGCCCCTGCTTGAGCCAGCATCTCTAAAACTTCTATCTGTAAAAAAATAAAACAACTGTCATTTTTAATTAGTAAGCAACAAATAAGGAACTAAAAATACCTACATCTTTCTAATTCCAACCAAAGCAAATCTGACTTTCTACAAAAAATTAATTATTTTGATAAAAAAAAAGGTAAAAAGGAGGCAATTTTAGGTTATCCAGAAAAAGAGGTAAATCTCTATTAATTTCTTTTACGTTTTTGTTAAGCAATTAAATTTATCATATTATTTTTAACAAGCTAGTAATTTTAATAAGTTAGCACTTGGCAATGCCACAGCATGTGTATCATATGTTTAGTTATAACGATATGATTTAATAATAAGATATGGAGTATGCTTTTCAGAACGCTCCTGGGTAGTGAGAGCAAATTTAGTATTTCATTCAAATTTAATTCTTTTTGTCTTACTCGCTAGTAAATTTGAATAAGATATGTCTATTTGACTCTTGGACATTTTTCATATAGTTAACCAGTATCAAGAAAAAAACATCTTAGTCTTGAGAATAAGTGTTTAATAAAAAAATGCGTAGGATGATCATTTGGTAATGTAAATTAACATATTTAATTCAACGTCCACTATTACACAATTTAGGCCTTATCGCACTTACATGATTTTTTTTCATAAAACGATCTGAGAAATCGCATCTAAATCATTGTTTTATTTTATTTGAAAACGTCTTGTATATTTTAATCTGAATGGTTCAAAGAATGAAATATGCATCTAACTAGATGTTTCAGAATTATTCTTTATAAAGTGTAAATTAAGGTAATAAATAAGATTAAAAGATTAATTAATAAAATTAAACAAAACAAAGTATGAGTACTAATATTTTTAATCGTTTAATCAATTAATTATTAATACTTTTGTTCTTAATATCTTTCTTTTTACCTTTTGAAATAGAAAGAAAATAATATATAAGTGTTCTGAAGACCTTCTTCATGAATAAAATAAAGAAAAATGTTACTTTCTGAACGGCGAAAAATACTTACGTGACCCCAGCAAGCTGCCGCATGCGATGGCTGCCAATCATCTTTATCCTTCACGTCTGTCCTTACACCGTGCTCTAATAAAAACTCCACTACCGAAAGATACCCGTTGGCTGCCGCAATGTGAAGCTGCAATAAAAGAGAAATATACCATACCTATAGATACTCTCATGAATTAAAAATATCTCGATTATATAAAATGTCACATTTTAAGAGTCTATTACGCTGTACTGTTCGGGTCTAATTTCCTTCTTCATTTGTGTAAAAATACCTAGCCAGTTTTACATAAAACGTTAAATGCCGAACGCTTATTTTGCTACTTTTTCGGACTAGTGAAATGGACTCTTAAGTCCATAACATTCTTTTGTATCTTGGTATGTAGTACAGCGTACAAAAATCAGTGTAACAATTAAATTAATTTAAAATTACTCTTATGCTATAGTGGAAATTCCTAGAATTTTTCTACTTTCGACATATTATGATATCGTGTATGGTAATATTTTTTGTGATTAAACAAAACAATACTGTATGATGGATGAAAAAAAAACGCGTTGACTGAAATGAAGATTGATGTCATTCCTTACAAAACATATTTAAATAAACAGCAGTATATTTTATAGCTCGCTACCTATATACACGCGGCAGAGAGTCCACGTGGACTAGACGAGTATGTCACGGCAAAACACACCATTCAAAAATGACAGATGATATTTCAATTTTATTGGTTTGACGGAACGATGAGCGACAAACGGATGCCGACGCGTATGAACTCGCCTTTAGATTTTTGAAGCTTGTCAAAGTCTTGCCAAATTATAAGTTATAATTTTGTGTCAAATTATGTCAAATATCTGCGTTATGGAAGATGATGCATTTTGATTCGTGTTATTACGTGTATTTTGTGTCTTTTGAAGTCTAGTGGAGGAAAAATCGAGGAAAAATTAACTGTAGACCCAGAGCACAGTTTATAGTTAATATTCACTGCCCAGGCAGAAAGTCTTATACACCAATAAAGTTACCATCAATAAAGTTTGTATACCATCTCGTCGTAGATAAGTGCATCTCGTATATGGGTACAAGGATCGTACTAAAGATATACTAAAAAATGGAGTACCTACCAAGCTGTAAAATATCACACGATAGGCAAATAATGGATTTTAGTACTGCAGAAAAATAATGTCAACAGGTACTGATTAAAAAAAATTAAGATTAAAGTTAATTAATCAACCTTTAAGATATAAAATTTTGTAAATGTTATTATTAATAAAATAGTTTGTTTTATGTATGTTGTTTTATTTATTCCTGTAGAATATTACAAATTTGTATTTGTACATAAGTTATATTGATTAATATAATAATAAATGCGGGAAGTTTCTTGAAGCTTGTAAGTAACAAATAGTTCTTTTTTATATTCTTTCTATGAGGTGTTTTGTTCTTGTTTGTTTTGTATTAACACATACCGTTTTTTTTTAATAAAATAACTCGATTACGTTCAGTTTTATACAGTTTTTTTTTCACAATATTTTGAAGTAATCACTTGTCAGTCAAATTTTAAATATATTAACTTCTTTACGGATGCTTCGTAGCTACAGAACGCATAGATGTACTGTTAGGTGGCAGACATAAATGTGTGTTATTTTTGACACTGCATTACAGCCCCTATTTAGAATATTTTGATTTTAAGAGAGATTAAACTTTTATTATATAACTGTTTTTACTTGTAGATACCGACTTATTTTTATTTAAAAAGAAATCTATTTTAATTGCAACCTAATACAATACATTTTACAAATATACAACATAATATCGTCGCTTATCTCGCGTAAAGGCGAAAAATTATTAAACTGAAAAATCGAAGAAATGAGTTATGTCACTTGAGACTTCCTACAGGCACAACTTTTATCTCACAAAGTGCTGTAACTGTATCTCTCACGATATCAAGGTAGTGATCGTATTTGGATTCAACGTACTATCTTACAAAAATTACAAGTTCAATACCAGGTAATTTTTTATTTTCTGAGACAGTGGATGATATAGAAAAAACTACTGAATAAGTATAGTATCTTGCTTCATTTGCAAGTGGAGGACGGCTTCAAAAAGGGAAAATTCTCTGTAGTTAAAGTGGCACAATTTTCCAAATAATCATCAAAGTTACGGAAAAAAGTAACAATAGAAAAGTGTACCATCGGTTAAAAAAATAAAATACTTTAGGTTATAACCATTAGTTTAGTGATACAAAATAAAAAAAACTTTATTTTTCAAAATTAAAAGTGTTTTATAATAAATAGCATTCTAACATAATATTAATCACACACTGGACCTCTATTAATGCACAGAAAAGAAAAGAGGGAAATTGTTTATTATTACTATATTCAAAAATAACGCGCAGATACGATATTTTGAATTGAAAGCAAATTCCAAGCTGTTGTTTTCATATTTAACTTGTTTGTTTTTAAATATTTCCAAAATATTATTTACAACAATCGACATACAAATAACTCAACTATTCCAGCAGTGTTATAAACTTTTTCATTGTTAATTTTTCAAATTAAATTTGCATGCATGTTACTGCAAAAAAAGTTGTCATTTATTTTAATTCACAAATTAAGTATGTCCGTGGTAATTGTATAGAAACAGTTATAAGAAAAAAAGTTCAATACACACAACCAAACTTATATGGAATCGCTCTTTATTTCTGACTAAATTTCTTGCAAGGATAAAAATTAGTATACAACTTTAAGATAAGGCTTTTTGTTGTAAATAAACATGATAATAAAGAATAATTGACTGCCGCTATTTATTTTCTTTTGATTTACTTTGTGTTCAGTAGTAAAATCACGATTGTCCGGTAATTTCCATTCTATCCAAAAAAATAAAAAAACGCCTTAAGATGGATTAACAGATGTACAGAGGGAAAGAATTATTGCTCTTACCGAACAAGGAATGCTCAAAAGAGACGTAGCAGAGATCGTAGGCGTTACCCAGGGTGTTGTATCGAAACCAAGCAAGGTACTTGGAATTAGGAATACACAAGGATAGGCCCAGACAAAGTCGTCAAAGAGTCACAACTGAACAAGACCGCATTGTGTGGAAAATCGCTAGACTAAATCCCAATGTTTCTCATCCAGAGCTACAAAGATAACTTCTGGCAGCTACAGGTGTGAACGTTTCAGTTGAAACCATAAGAAAAAGGCTTCGTGCCCGAGGGTTTTACAGTAGGAGAGAGTTACGGATACCACAGTTATCTCGGCAAAATAAAATTGACCGGCTAAATTGATGCCTTCAACATCAAAACTGGACAACTGAGAATTGACAAAATGTTCTTTTTTCGGATGAGACCAGAATTGGCCTAAGATCAGATAACCATCGAATTCGGGTTCTCAAGCTCCAGGACGACTAGCGAGACTTCTGTACCAAGATATAAAGTAGGAACTGTAATGTTCTGGGGAGGTATTATACTGGGAGCAAAAACTCCATTGTTACCACTTCAACAAACTTTTAACGAGTGGGAGATATGTTGATTTGGTGCTAGAACCAATCGTTAGTCTTTCGAGAGCTGCAATTGGGGATAATTTTAACTTCATGCACGACAGTGCACCTCCCCATACCAGCAGAGTGACTAGAGAATATCTTGAAATGGAAGGTGTCAGTTTTGGACTGGCCTGCATGTTTACCAGATTTAAATCCTATCGAACCCTTATGGGACTAGTTCAAAAGAAGGGTTAGAGCTCGTCGAAACAATCCAGGAAATCTTGCACAGCCTTAAAACATACCCCAAGACAACATTGATAATTTAATAAGAAGCATGCCAGCGCGGATAGAAGCTTGCATAAGGGTTAGAGGTGGCAATAACAAATATTAATATTTTCAATTTTCTTTTTGTTTTTGCTTTTTTGCCATTAAAAATTTAAATCTTAATTTGGTTTTTTAGAAAACCAAAAAAATACCATTTTGATTATTTTGGGAACCGATTAATTTTTTTATTGATATATGGATTATTTTTCATTAAAACTCATTGGTAAGGAGTGAGTTTTATTCATAAACACAATATCTTCATACGTCTCGAAAATTATGAAAAATTATAGATGATTCCATATAAGTTTGATTGTGTGTATATTTTATAGTAGTTGACTATGTCATTAAATATCGCATCTATTTATCATACTAAACAACTTATTTGCATAATTTGAAAACTTATGTAAACATTTCGGGCGAATTAACATTTTTAAACCAAATACAATTAACATGAAATTAAAGAAATCTAACACCCTACATCAATGAGAATCCTACAGAAATAGAGGGAGTACAAGCCATCAAAACTTGTCCATCCAGAAAAGACAATAATTTCAATAGACGCCCAAAAATCGACAGAAAATACAATCTATTTTTGAATAAAAATGACAGTCATGTATTTTCTCGTGGGACAGACCTAGAGAATATTGAAAAATATTAGATTTAGGCAGATAAAATAAATAAGATTAAAATAGACATTCTAACAAGAAACCCCTATTAAAACTAAACTCCCACTCATTGTCAATTTTAAGGACGCTACAACTTATACAGAAAATAAATAATATCAAGTAAATTAAGTTTAAATAAAAGAAACTATCAAAAATGATTAAAAGTATCGTACCGGTGTGGCGCCTTGAAAGTCGTACTGATCCAAACTTTCCCCTTTTTGTACCATAATCCTCATATCGTTCAGCATCTGCCTCTCGGTGCTCGCTCTGGTTTCGTCTATCAGTTGCTGGGTAACTCCGTTCTTCGCCATCTCGCTCTCTATGTAATCCAAGGCTTGTTCATCCTCGCAAATGTCGTAGGGCATGTTACCATCGGCGTTTACCGCTAAAAGATTCGCACCCCTCGAGATTAATATCCTAAAAAAAAAACGAAATTTGAAGGAAATTTTATTAGTTAAATTACGAATTTTTGGTATAAATTAATTGTGTTGTGATACTTTAAGCTTAAAATTTTTTACAAGGAGACCTTGCAGTCGAACATTGTTCTTTTTAGAACCTATTTTAGTGCGAAATGGTACAAAATAGCTTAATAGCCGTTGCAAAAAAAAACTTATCGCAACCTTATTAGTACAGAACAACAAACAAAAAATGTAATATACCAAATACCCTGTGAATGCGATAAATTTTACATTGGTGAAACATCTAGACCCTTAAATGTTAGAACTAAAGAACATAAAGATTATTTAAGAAAGGGAAATTTTCACAAATCTAAGATATGTCAGCATTCTTGGGACACAGGGCACAGAATAAATTTTAATAACGCCAAAACTATAATGAAAGAAGCGATAGCCTCTAAAAGAAAAATAAAAGAGGCTTTTTTAATTCAATCTAATAAAAATAAATGTATTGCTCATGGATTTGTAGATGTTAGTAATGCATGGCAATCGCTTCTTTGATTTTAAAGAACAATAGATACAAGATAAATAAACATAAAATACGTAAAATTTAAAAATAATCATACAGAAAGTTTGGGGCTTTTTGGTTTTACCCATAGGTTTTACCTTATTAAGTAATTGTTATCAGGTAGTAAGTAATTGTTAATTTTAAAGTTTAAATATCAAGTTAAAAATGTCATTTTAACAGAACGTCAACGGTTTCTTGTAGACGTATCTGTTTTAAAAAAAGTAGTGTTCTGGAATAGTTGAATTTAAATATTTTAAATGTTTTTTTTCTCTATTCTTTGTATTTTTTTGCTTCCGACGACGGAAAGAGATAACTTTCCGAAACGTTAAGCATTTTTTTTTGCTTTGTTAGGCAAATTTGTATTACCGTAAACATAACTTCTAACAAGCAGCGTCCGTTTAGGTTTAACGCAGAAGTGTTTACAAAAAATAATTATTTTATTTTGTAGATTTTCTTGCAGCAGTGGCGAAATACCCATACAGGATTTTTTTGGAAAGATGAATCCGCCACATAGGTATAGACATTTTTTTGTTTATATTATAATTAATTTATTTTTGTTTTCTAAAATCTTTTGATTAAAAGAAAATATGTAAAAGTAGACAACGCTATGCCGATCAAGCTTAATCAAGCGACTAAAAGTTCATTTGGTATGATCTATATCAACAACTCCTATAATACCATTTTGTAGGAGTTAATATCTATATACACATACACATATTTAAATTTAAAAAATATATCATATATTTTAATGATGAAATTAATATATAATTCCACTATAATAACCACAAATTTAGATCTAACTAAATTTAATAATCGTATCTACATATATCTTCAAATTCCGTATCCATAACGTGGATTTAAAAAATATCACAATAAACCATAATTATTATTTGGAATGTGTTTACACCATAGCGCTGATACCAAAACTATATAGGAAATCAGAACAAACAAGTTTCAACTGATAATACAACAGGAAAAAGAACATGGCATTTCTAAACTATTGTTCATCTGATGAATTGATTACTAACTGTATAAATAAATAAATAGCTCTTGTTTTTTCTAAATTTCCAATTCTAGACTTATGGCCAGTTTAAGACCGAAATATTTCTCTGTGCGACGTCAAATAACCAGTGCGTGTCAATATATTTTATACTTTTTTTTCAGATTTCAATACATTAAAATTTTCACAAAAACTTGAGACAATACACGTACCTAACTAGTTTTAAATGACCACATGTAGCTGCCGCGTGCAATGGTGTCCATTTTTCGCTGTCTTCCGCATTGACATTCGCTCCGTATTCCAGTAAAAGTGACAACATGGGTTCGTTGTCATCTATGCAACACTGGTGCAAGGCCGTCAGTCCATCTTCGTTGCAAGAATCTGGACTCACGCCTTTCATTAGCAATCTTCTTACTGAAATAAAAGAAACAGGGATTTATAATAGTAATTTTAGCATAAAACCTACGACCTTCGTCATCGAACTAATAAAACACATTAAACATAATACCATACATTAAGTTTTTTGAAACAAGGCATGAGCCGTGGATAAAGAAACTAATATTAGTACAGTATGATGGAAAAAACGCTGTCCAGTTGGCAATCGATGATATTTTCCATGTAATTTTACATATAAAATTACAGCAATATCCATTTAAAAGCCATCTCTCGATCATATTGAATTTCAAAATCAATTTTTTGGCAACAAAAAACCTACAGCTATGGCACTGGCTGCTCGTGAATAGAATTATCATAGAATATAGTAGCTTCAAGAGACCTAGAGGAAGGCCAAACTTGAGATGGGACTATGATATTAGGAATTTGGACCCAAATACAAAAAAAGTATCTAAATATGAGAGGGAGGCTACACCATAATTGGAAATGGTTGAATAAGCAGAAAATGATGATGATGAATGATGAATGATAGTAGCTTACAATGTAATGTGTACCAAAATTAATTTAAATAACTTGAGAGGTTGGGGTATAAAAACATCCGAAGTCAAAACCAGAAAACTTTTAAATGGCTGGCAAGATTTTTATACAGATTGGCGAATGTAGTATACACCAACATTATAGACGCAATTAACAGCCGCAAGGTCAACAAATTCAAAACAGCTATATCAAGTCTGGAAGACATTAAAAATTATGTACCAATTTAAGCTGAGGCAACCTGGTATACAGATGATTGAAGAACTTCAGTGGAAGTAGGAGCTAGCTGGAATAGTAGGGATGACCAAAGAGTAGCTCCCCAAGATGACCACAGTAGATTACCAAATAAAAGCTAATTTTGTGGAAGAAATAATAAGGCAACGGAGAACACACCGTTCTGTTGTCATCTTCAAAGGTAGCAAAACAGCACTATAGGTACTTGATTCCATAGTAGTTAATTATAGACTAGTATGAGATTGTGATGCTCTAAATACAATGGGAGAACGTTGCAAAATTACGTTACCTTGAGCACAGTCCTCGAGGACACGAGCATCACAACAGCATCGAAATGCAAATGAAATGCCCAAAGGAGATCCATCAGTACAATCCACTGGATCCTAAACTTTCTGCAGTGCTGCAAATTATATGAAAAAAATACTCTAGAATGGTCAAAACATTCGCCAAAGCAGAGAAAAATTGTTGGTAGACCTAATAAGCAAAAAATGAAAATTGTCAAAACTTAGTAGTTGTTACCAGCAGGGCCTTGCAAGATCCTTAGACATTTAAAGCTGGCGGGATTAACAGACAAAGTTATCTGTAGACTCTACCAATCAGAATATGAAACGACAGACAACATTCAGTCATGGTGATGATATGTATGGCAATGTCTAATAAATGGACGTCTCCTTGTACTTGGCGAGATGGCTATCTATTGTCAAAGACCTATATGAAAAGTTACAGATTATTACATTTTCTGGAAAATATACGACTGGAGAATGTAATTTAGAGATCAGACGACTACAATAAATATGTAAAGATCGCAGTTGTCAAAAGCTACCTCATAAAATCTAATATCTTATCTAATACAGTGGCTACTGCAAGTTGGTGTAAAAAAGTGGCACTGGCAAAAGAGGTCGAATGCAGGCTCTGCATGCAAAAGGTAGAAACTAGGAAAACATCAAAATATCTTGTCCAGCCGGGAGCCATGGGAACAATAACTCAAATTTAATTATAAAGTAAAACTGTGCTGGACTTAGATTAAGACATCATTAATTACTTTGTAGAAGTGTTTAATAAAAACTGGATATAATTTCAACTCTATTAATAGCTAGGAAAAAAAATGTTGTAAAGAATTGTTACCTTCGTCTATGTCGTTTCTAGCTGCAGCTTCCAATAACACCACGCTGTCCTCAAACACGATGCCTCTTTTGTTGCTCTTCAACTGTTTGTTGTTCTTCTTATGCTCCTTGTCCTTCTGCGTGTACAGCTTCAGTTGCTGACTGCGCCTCTTCCTGGCGAGCATCAGCCTATCTTGGGTGGGCATCTGTTCGATGCGGGGCATTTCTTCTATTAATTGAGCGTGCTCCATCTTTGAGGATGATTCTAGATTATGTACATATAGTATCAGTCTTTATTCTGAAAGAAAAAAAAACATACCATTAGTCACAGTATTTCTTTTTCCTAAATCCAGTGATCAAAAATCCCGGGATTGAATGCCCTAGTTGGTAATCAACTACATCATCACTATATTGAAATCATTGAAAAAAAACAATAGACTACAATAGTGAACCTAAAGAACATTTAAATAATAATGTAAATTAAATAATGGCCAAACCATAGTGTAATGTTTAACTTTATTGCTAATAAAGACAAGTTTATTATTATTATTATTTTCCGTGGGTAGAATAAAATGCTTATCCTCTTAATCTATTATACAACATTTTATAGCCATTATCCACTAATACTAATTACTAAATAATGAATGAAAATAAAAGGAGGAAGGTTTATTAAAACTTAAGTTTTTATTTTCTTTTAATTATAATTTATCACGAACTTTGATTTTAATACTGATTTAAATTTTCAAAAATCATGTGTTTTAAATCATAGATTGAAATCGTTTCAGTACTGAACATTTCAGATTAAAAATTATTTCTATAAACTCTTCTTAAAAGCGTTTAAAGAAAAACACACCATCCTACGTTTCATACTTGAACTTTTCGTACCTCAGCAAGTCATTTAAACAATTACTGTTTTAAACTTGATTCATTTCAACAGTAGTAACTATTATAGGTCAACTTAATACTTTAACTTTACTTTATGTTAAATAAGTTTAGTTTGACCTACAGTAAATTCGTTAATATATGATATGTTTATTTGTCAAATAATCTATATTTCGATATACACACTAAAAGAAAGAATATAGTAAATATACTATAATGTGATAATGTTGAATCAAATATACAGGGTGTCCCAAAAATAAGTGCAGATATTTTAAGGGTGGTAGATCTGGTCAAAAGAAACATATTTTCTCTTTGCCATTTTTAAAATAAATTGAAAATAACCGAATTATTTAACTTAGAAAATAAAAAAAAAACAATTTGTCATTAGTTCGAAATAAAGATTTTCGTAAACCTCATAAAAGTGATGTTTTAGTTACTATTCGGTAGTTACCGTTAGGTTTGGTCGGTTTTCACTAAAAGGGTATGTACTAAAAATAATTAATGTGTTTTTTTTTTCTAGAACTATTAGTAATGGGCACTGTACGCACATTTCAATAACCATGTTCATTCTCAGAAAACTTTGCAAGTATAATAATTACGAAAAATTCTGTTAATAAGTTTTCTTTCATTACCAAATTAGAACTTCTGCATGGGATGCGATAATCACATTAACATCCTCGGCATATTTTCTATTGTTAACAATATCTATTTATCTTCTCGATATTATCTTAAAAGGCAAACGGTAGTATACTCTAAAATAGTGATCGTAATAGTATTTAACCTTCGGCTATTCCAAATATGTCACATTTAATGGATGATCTGTATTGTTGTCGGTTCAGCTTACAACGTATACCGTTGAGTGGTGATTATTTTTGAATTAATTTGCCCACGTAAAATAAAGCCAGCTTTTATATCATTCTGTATTAATTCCTTGTTAAGTATTCTTAAATTTATTTTATTATTTTAAGTATTCTAAAATTTATATGATATACTATTATTTCTTTCCCTGCTGCGAACCCACAAATGGATGTTCGTGATCACATTTGTCCACTCTTTTTTACTTGAGTAAAAAATGTACATGTACTGCCAAAAAACATTTTACTGCCTAGAGACTAGCGAGTGCCAGTGACTGCGAAGAAAACTGCCTAAGTCTGTCGTAAGACTGATGCCAACGACTGCCAAAATGTAATTCCAAGAGTTAGACCCCCTCGACCCCTCGATTCTTCCACTGTCATCCTTCCATCCATCCACTCCCATCCTTCCATCACGTTCACTGTCTGACATTGCGAAGCCATGACATCCTCTTCCTGCCAACACCCCATTCTTTACCTTAATCTTTCCTTCAATTATCAACTATTGGAATTGGTATATCTCCTTATGTATCACATGACCTAGATATATGCTGCTTTTGGGCGTTTGATTGTGCCCAGCACTTCAGCAGTCTTTATTGATCATTCTGAAAATCTCATTGTTTGTCCTTTATGCATGGAATATTTAGCACACGCCTATAAATCCACATTTCAAATGCTTCGATCTTGTTCATACTGCACACATTTAGTGTCCATTCCTCCATACCATAATGTAATACCGGCCAGACATATAACACTTTACAAATCTAATCTTACAGCTACAGAGAGAAGGTAGAATGACTAGGAGGGGGTTCATCACCGCGACCTTAAAGATCTATTGTGTCCCTCATTCTCGGGTTATAACTCATCACACAGTCTATAACTCATCCTACATGGACATTTTCCTGTTGCAGGGAAGACAGGGCATTTCCCATCATCTGACATTCGGACAGTATATGTTCTTCCTCCGAGGACTGGACATCTACCTCCTACGAGGGTATACACCCTTCCACAGTTGGGGTTTGGCCCTCCGCACCCTTCACAGTCGAGGAGCTTGACTCCGGCTGAGAAGGAGGCTGGAGGTTTGAGAAGGAGGCTGGTCCATTTTGTCCACTTCTTTAACTTGGTTAACTTATCCTTAGGCTAAGATCGAAATCAGTATAGGTGGACACTTTTCTGAACTTCATAAACGCACTGCGGGTAGTTTCAATTCGACATCTGATTTCGGTACCGGATTTCATACAGTCACGTTCCTAAACATTTAAATTTATTTTCTCGTTCTATTGATTCATTGATCAGACTTGCGTTTTGAAATTCTTGTGGCTTGCGAGTAATTATCATGAATTTAGTCTTCTTGGTGTTGATATTAAGGCTCATGTTCTTACTGCTGTCACCAATATTGAGCATATCTTGCAAATCTTCCATTTTATCTGCAATTAGAACTGTATCGTCCGCATAACATATGTTATTGACTCTCACATCATTCACCTTAATGTCCACATTACGCTGATTTAGGGCTTCCTGAAAGATGATTAAAATAAAGCCGTTTTTGTCAACACCGACAAGTGCTGTAAAACGAACTAATGCTGGGTTCCTCAGTGGACAACATCACGCCTTGCTGCCCCCCAACGTGAGAATGCCTTACTCTAGTATATTGTACGCTCAGTAGTTTTAGGATTTAGATTAGTGGACACTTATTCAAAATTAAAGACAATAATTCCAGTCCAAAAAGATATTTTATTTCCAATAAATAAAAATATTGCAGACATGTTACAGAGAACATATACTGTATAATTATAAAAAAAGTGTGTAGATATTGTCTAGCTATTCTGATAGACAGTCTGTGTTGTAATTTTATTCAATCATAATTAACATTAAACCTAAATATATCGTTTTAACAATATGTATATCAAACTTTAAATTAATCAAATGATTTAAGCAAACTGGATGTTTATTTAAATCATTTTCTGGGCGTCGATAACAAATTTTATTTTAACAATTTTCCCAACTCAGTCTCCCAAATCGTTAAAAAATATGAACCTTGAAATTTCAATTCAAATTTAGTTAGAGCTATTAAAAATAAAACTAAAAATGTAAGGCGTGAGCTGTAGATACATTTATAAAATCGATTTTAGTATACAGGGTGACTCTTTTTAATATTGTAAAAAATACATTACTTGTATAAGACCAAACAATTTTTGACCAAAATGGGTTAACAACTGACAGTATCAATAATTACAACAATATATTGTCAAATTTCAATTAAGTTTAAATATTTTTCTGAGTCTCTGAAATCATCAAGATTTTTCTTAATTATGGGTCGATTGGAACCAAACTCGACATGTGGATAAAAGTACCCGAATGGGAGTCCTCAGATGGACAAACGGTCATTTTAATACAAATTTTGTGAACGTGAATCAAATTATTTATTAATTTTTAATTTATTACTTTTTCGACATTTCAAACTACACTTTTTTCAAACATGTCCTTCAAATCCTTCAATTTAATAGTTGTAGAGGACATAAAAATAAAGGGAGAACTAAGATCACCCTATGATAAGCAAAGACAGAAATACAGTCTAATCTGTAGTAGGTAGTAGGTCTACCAGCAGGACATTGTAAACTTAATAGGCATCTAAAGCTGATGGGATTAACCAAAGAAGTCAATCTGAAGAAGAAACGACAGAAGACAGAACACATTTTATGTCTGGGAAATGTGCGATTTTTTGTACTAGACAAATATATCAGTATCAGTATCTAATACTAATATATCAATATCAGTATCCAAGTTGCCGGACTTTTTGAACATGGATCAGGAAAAGACCACAATATATGTAAAAACGCCGCAGTGGCACAGACCGATAGCCACTTCAAAAATTAGGCGTCTAGCTTAGGCTCATCCTTTCATAATTCTATAAGAATATCCAGGAAAGAATTTGTGTAAAACTTCTGAATTGTTCCAAATGATTACATTGAACGCACTACACTAATATATTATTGTATAGTCTTGTAAACGAAGGTTGAAACCACGGCTTAATTTGTCGACCGGGACTTTTCAGGCAGATGGTGTGTTCGCTGGGGAGTAGTTTAGGGAAAAAATTGTAACACCGTGCTGGTAACAAAAATTGCTCCAAATGGCAAATATCTGCCAAAATATGCAGTTTACAAAATTTTTCTTGGAATAAAAAATGAACCTTAGGTAATTCTACCTACTAAAATGGACCTTATAATTTTTTACGTAAATTAGTAGTGTTCGAGATATTATGCCTCGTAAATCCCTGAATTTTCTCTCCAAGTCTTAACGTTCCGGAGATAGATTTCATAAGCGTATCATTGATTGATGAGACAAATTGTTTAATAACTCGGCTAAAATTTAATATTTTTTGATTATTCAAAGTTCATTTAAAAGGTAGAATCAACAGATATCACATTTTGGAACTTATTTGAAATTTGTCACATTTTATGATAATAAAAAAAACCGGGCAATCATTCCATGGCCCAAAAATTTGCAGATTTTTACAAACTTATTCATATTTTCACTAATAATAGCTTATTTGTCGGCCTATTAA